AGAGATGGGATCAATTTGAACCAACCGATGAAGTTGGTTCAATTTTTATCTCAATAAAAATGTGTACAGGGTGTTGCCTATAGACAGGTAGCATTGGAAACTCCAGGGAACTTATTAGAAATGCAGAATCCCAGGCCCTGCTGAAATAGAGTCTGTGTTTTAACGTGATCCCTAGGTTCCCATCAGAGTTTGACATGTGAACTCTGCATTGCTCACTTTACCCAATTGAACCTCATTTTCCTGTTCTGCAAAACAGAAATCAGAAGCTCTACTGCAGGTATTGCATGAAGTTATTAGCTCCTCTGCTATGTATCTGTGTGCCTGCCAGGGTGCTGGGCCACGGAGTAGGAGCCCAAAAGCAAATATTTTCTCCCTTTTCCTCAGTGTCACTTGTTTCTGAATAATATGATTATATAATCTTGTTCCCCTCAATGTCTTTTTGCTGGCCTCTCTACATACATCAGAAGGGCTTTATCCTCTCTCTGATCTTCCTTCTATCTCTTCAAGTCTCAAAAACACATTAAAAAATCAAAAATCCATGAGATTGATGGTACATAGGAAATCCCTTGTTCAAACTCCCCTTTGAAGCCAGAAATTTAAGTCCCAGAATTGTTCAGTCCTTATGTTCTCACTCAAGTGCTAACTTTTAGATGCCATGGAGATACCAGATGCTCGATAGATACTTTCTGGTTGCTGGATGAGTAAATGAATGAGGCTCTATGAACTCCAGGGCAATCTATTCTTTGTCTAAATCTCACTTGTTTTATTTATGACTCATCCTGTCCTTTCATCCTTCCATTAAAAAAAAACAACAAAAGCAACTAGTATATTTCATCTTGTTCCATGGCCATGGCCTCATCTACCCAAGACACAGGCCCACATGTGAGCAATGTGAGTATGGCTACTGGCCAGCTAGGGCCCCCAAATTCCCATGGTGCATTCACCTCACTATTTCAGGAAGGACACAACAGTCAGGCAAGAAAAGGAAGGTCAGGTCTTCATGGGATCCCATGAAGTTTAAGGCAGAGCAGTCATCCTTTGCATAGGGAAACGCCTGGGAGGCTTCATGTAAGAAGTTCCTCCAATAATCAAACACTCCACTGAAAGGTTATATTTACACAGCTCATTAGGAAATTTTTTTTATACTTTTGACACTCATTAGACTTGTAATCGTCCACCGAAGCTACTCTATAACAAGAGATAAACACTCCATTCTAGAGGATGAATAATAATTAGGTATTGCTCAGCACTGTGCTCTTTACAGGTCTAATTTTAGAGCATAATTAATCCTGCTGAAGCTGCATAAGATAAGTGAAATATTTATGCAGCTGCGTTAATTCATGTATTTACTCCTAGAGAGACATTCAGAATTGGACATGGCTTTCCGGGAAGATTATCTTAAGATGCCCCCTGGAGCAACGCCATTTTTTCTTCCATGTCTTTGCCTCCAGATGGCCTCTAAAGAGGAACTGAGACATGCTCCCCAACTCTGACAGTCTGACCAAGAAAGCAATGAGCCAGGACAGAACACATCTATGAGAATCTAGATGCTCTCTGGTACAAGGAGCATACCCTTGAATGCCTTTACTTTCTGAAGAGGAAATGCAAATGGCCAACAGGCATATGAAAAAGTGTTCAACATCACTTGTAATCAGGGAAATGCAAAACAAAACTACAATGAGATACCATCTTATACCAGCGAGAATGGCACATATCAAAAAAACTAGCAACAACCAATGTTGACGAGGTTGTGGAGAAAAAGAAACTCTCCTGCACTGTTGGTGGGAGTGCAAACTGGTCCAACCACTATGGAGAGCTGTGTGGAGATTTCTGGACCTACTAAACATAGAGCTTCCATATGATTCAGCAATTCCACTCCTAGGTATTTACCCAAAGGACACAGAAACATCAATTCCAATACTTTTTACTTTTATTTGCCACAAGGAGAAAATTCTCTGTTCAGCTCCACAACGGTTGTCTCCATGAGATTAACTTGACCATATTATTACCAATGTGACACTAACTAGCCTTGTTGAATACTGGAGTTATGCATGGACAGTGATGGTGATGATGAGGGGAGAGGGATGGTGATGATGATGTGTTGTTGAAGATAAAGGTATTGGTGTTGATGATGGTGAGGGTAGTGGTGGTGGTGATGTGATGATGATGGTGATAATGATGTGACAATGATGACAATGATGGTAGTAATTATGATGGTGATGATTGTGATGATGGTGGTGATAATGGTGATGACAGTGATTGGACTGGTGATGATCATGGTGGTGGTGTTCATGATGATGGTAGTGATGACAGTGATGGTGATGATGACAGGTGTGATGCTGTTGGTGGTGATGATGGTGATGATCGTAATGAAGGTGATAATGGTGATTGTGGTGGTGGTGGTGATTTACTGAATCATTTCTATGTTCCAGGCACTGTGCTAAGATAACCTCTACAAGCATTATCTCACTTTATTCTCGCACCAATGATATCAGGTAAATATTGCTGTATGCATTCACATATGAGTAAACTAAGGCTAAGAAAGATAAGCTCAGAGGTATTTACAAGTGGGGCAATAGATTAATTAATATATGCACTAAATTATTCCTTCTTATAAATCTCAAATACCTAATTAGCTAATGTTGATACACATCTCAAGAAAACAAGTGAAAAAGGAGTCTACTCATTGACCCCCTTCCTGAATTAGGTCCCTTAACTAGAGGCCTGTCCACTTACTAGCCAAGAGACTCACAAGCCCACTCACTGAGCTTTGGTTTCCTCCTCTGTAAAATGGGGATACACAATATTTAACCTCATGGGATTGCTATGAATATTAAAGAAAGCATGTAATGCATCCAGGATGGTGATTGGTATATTCTATCCCCTAAATAAATTAGCTGGTTCATAATAGATGTGGCAAGAGGCACAGCAACAGCAAAGCTCACTTACCTGACAGTTACTGATCACATTTAAAAGTCTGTATCAAATGAAATACACACACCCCAACACCAACTATTCATCCATGTGTTGATCTGTCCATTCAATCCTTGACTAACCCATGTACCTACTATACCCAAGATTCTGCGGTATTTTCTATTGGAAACAACACTCATTTGCTGAGTAGTTTGCCCCATGAAGAGGCGCTAAGACAACCACTGTGGCCGATAAAAAAACTGTCCCCAAATCCTTACCCTCTCTGTTATCACAACCTTAGTTCATAGAACTCCTCTCATAAAATCTAGTGCACACATCCAGTCCCTTGACTTTAGACTTGGCCATCTGACTTGCTTTGGACAGAGGGTAAGAGGACACAGACCTGGACTATGCATGTGCAGGTGGGTACTTTTTTGTGCCTCTGACATAGCCAGGTAAAGAGCTACTTCCAGGCACCTGCTGCCCCTTCAACCTCAGAATAAACACCCGTAGAGAGGAGGCCACACCCTTGACCATCAGACTGCAGTGAGGAGAAGCTAGCCCAGGGGCCCCCAGCGTGGGAAGAGCCCCCCTCAGCTTGCCTTCCTAGGGACACGGTTGTGCTTATTGCGGACGCCAGACCAACCCCGCCCACGCTCCCGACTGCCCTGTGGAGCTCACGGCCCTTGAGCCAGGGAAGGTACAAATGTCCTCTGGAGAATTCAAAGAATCAGATGCTTCTCATTTGGGAGTTAAATATAAAACACATTTAGATTTCTTGATGGTGCTGGGAGAATCTAGGGCTTAATTTTGGGAACAGAGAGAGGAGAAGAAGTGCAAGGAATTAGGCACTTTGTTCAAATCCACACCAACCCCGTGCGCTAACCTCAGCCCATTCCATCATTGCCCTTGATGGCGGTGGCTGCAAGATGTTCCTCTCCCAGTGCAGACAGGCGGGACATGTTGTGCAACTACTGTGGAATGTTCTGGAATGCAGCTTTGGCCCCACATCCTGAGCTCTTGCAGTCGGCTCACACCTAACTAACCCAAACACCTTGCTTTTTCCATCTCAGTGTTGGGGGCTCACTGGGAAGCCAACCTGCCAGAGGAACCATAAAAGGCCCCCAGAACTGCAGGGTGAGGTGAGGTCACCAGCAACCAAGAAGAGAAGGCAGAGGCATGAGCTGTGCTGGAGACAGAGCCGCCTGGCCAACAGGACGTTTCCACACGCCACCCCCTCCAGACCACCAGCCGAGTGGGGAAAGCCCCCTGCTGCGAGATAGGTGCCTGGGGTGGATGTTCCTGGAAATCCATGGGGCTCTCCTGCTCCCTTTCCTTTCCTGGAGATTGCTCGCCTCACGGCTCCATGGGATACTGTTAAGAGTATTAGCTTGGGATGACATAACCCACCACTTGGTTATTCCTGTGGGTCCAGGAAAGAGTGGCTGACCCCCAAATGCTTCACTTGGAAATGTAAAATTTGGAGAACAAAAACTGGGGCGTCTTACCCCCTGGTCATGCTCTGTCACTGCCCTAGAGCAGATTGGGGCTCCTCAATCCCAACTCTATGGCATTAGGTGGGGGGCCAGGCAGTACTGCGCTTGAGGCACAGGCCATTGTAACATGCTTGTCAGCATCCCTCCTCACTGGCCTGTACCCTTCAGATGCCACTGGCAAGCAGCCTCTCTGGCATGACCATCAAGAGTCCCCAGACATGGCCACCGCCCCTAGGGGAGGGGCTGCCCGTCCTCCACGCGCTGGAGGGAGCACCTATGGCTCTGGCTGCTGAGACCCCAGAATGGCCCTGGTTCTTCTTGCTTTTTTCTCCAACCTATCTGCTCAACTCATTCTTAAATTCACTGAGATAGACAGTTCTGCATCCTTAAAATAAATCCCTTTTTTAAACTCAGTTGCCTAGAATTGGTTTCCATTATAAGCAGCCCAAGAACCCGGCGTCGTGTGATGAACATTCAATAAACGCTCTCAGCGAGCACACTCGTCATCCACAGACCCGCTGGAGAGCCAGCCGGGAGACAGCGTGGGAGGGCACCAGGCCCCCTGAACGTAGGGGTCACCTGAGGTCTTACCATCACCCACAAACTGGAGCAGGGCCAGGTCAATCTGCCTCTTCCAAGGGGAGCCCTTCTGGAGGGCGATTCCATAGCCAGTGGTGGCGAAGATGTAGCCGCTCCCGATGGTCACCAGCTTGCAGCCCTCGTCCCTCCCGGCCTTGTAGTTCAGGACGGCCGCGTCGTAGATGAAGGCATCCAGCTTCCTGCAAGACAGAGCCAGGGGTCAGGGGTGGCGGGGAGCAGCCAGGGCCCGGCTCGGGAGCCTGACCCCACCTCACACACTGGGGACGGTGACTCACCGTCGCTCCATCCCCTCATCATGGAAGGATCTATTTATAATGAGGAGATAAAAGCTGCAACCTTTTCTCTCCAAGTTACAAGAGGCGGCTAAATAAAGACACGAAGAATCCTTATGCCCAAGTGAGTAAACAGTTTGCTGGTTCGCGAAGTGTTTGTCCTTAGTGCTCCCGGCTGCGGGGACGGCGCCTGTTTAGGAAGGTTTGCACCGGGACCTGCCAAAGCACGAAGGGACAGGAGGGCCTGGTGGCTGGGGGCAAGAAGGGGACCAGGTGACGTGGGAAGGACATTGTTCCTCCCCAAAGAAACAGGGTCACTGCTTGGTTACACCACAAGAAGGTAATGCCTGTTAGATTTTAGAAACCTGATCGGAATTCTCTATGTAGGAAACACTAAGAATAAAAATAAAATTTAAATTTCTCATAATTCCACAGCAAATTTTGAATAGATTAGTGAATGATTTTCCAAATTTTTTCCGTTTGTGCACCCACACACGTACACCCACACCTACGTCTACACACACACATCTTTGAGCGTGGGGGCTGGGAAGCTTTTCTGTAAAGACAGGAGGGTGAGTTGCTGGGACGCCGTGGGTCATGCAGCCCACTGCTGCGGCTACTCGGCTCTGCTGGCGCAACCTGATGTGGGGTGAAATGTGCCCCCCAAACTGATATGCTGCAGTCCTAGGCCCGGGACCTCAGAATGCGACCCTACTTGGAGATCGGGCGTTTGCGGATGTAGTTAGTTAGCGGGGCAGGTGGCCTCGTCCTATGGGGCCAGCGGGTCACACCCAGGGAGAGGCCGCGCGGAGGCTGGGGCTCTGCTGCCACAAGCCCCAGGAGCTGGGGGACGCCTGAAGCGACCTTTCCCCAGCGCCCCCAGGGGAGCCGGCCTGCAACACCTTGACCTCAGACCTCCAGCCTCCGGAACCGCCGCTCAACCCTCCCAGCCCGTGGCGCTTGCTGACGGCAGCCCGCGGGGACCGATCGGCTGCGGGAAGCAGCCGCCACCGAGAAGACAAAAAACGGGCCAACTCTGTTCCAGTAATCTCTGTGCCAATGAAGAGTCTCAGACCAGCCCAGCCCACGGCTGTGGCTGGCCAACCCTCCTGTCACTCCCCAAGCAGTCTTGCCGGACGCGTCCCTTCACATAACTGCTGTCTTTTCTCATTTCCCACCGCATGCGGCGACCACAGAGCCACGCGCAGAATGGTGCTTTTTCTGTTTTGATGTGTTTCTTTTATGGGGGTGACACTCCCGCAGTGAGGTTTCACACGCTGAAAGGATATGCCCGCCATCTCCTTGAAGGTCACGATCTAGAGTGGCCTCAGATCTCAGAAGTCCCGTGTGCCCTCCTGTCAGCACTCCCCGAAGGCTGCCCCCGCTGACCCTTCTGGCCTGGCCAGGCCTAACTGACCGCCCAGGCCCCTCGTTACGGCTGCTGTAGCGCTTCGGGTTTTAAAGTTACTTGAGAGGGCAGAGATGTTCGCCCTTGGCCGTGAGGGTGGATGTCTCCGCTCTAAAGTAGGGAGGAAATCTAAATCGAAGATTACTCAACTTCCTGACACTTTCTCGACTTCACTGCCTCTCTTTCTCCAGCAAGAAAACATAAAAGAGTGAAGCAAAGAAAAATAAAAGTGGCAGGAGAGGATGAAAATGCCACATCCTCTCAGAGACAGCTGCTGAAGGGCTCCCTATGGGCACAAAACTATTTGGGGGCTACAGCTGCATTCTTCATTTTAACTGGTTGCTCCTGTAATGGCTAGAGATGGGGGGAGGTGGCGAGGTTTGTCTCACAGAGAGACTGAAACTTTTTCTCCCTGGGCTGCAGATGCAGTGACGTGGGCTGGCACTCAGAGAGGACTAGAGGGGATTGGATCACCCCAGTGGATCGGGGCATCCTGGCACCGTCCTTGTGGACGCCCATCAGTGCCATCAAGTCAAGAGGAAACAGCCTCTCTGGAGTAGCAGGTGGAGAGTCCCCGAAACACAAATGGGGCTCTGAGGAGGCTGAGAGGACCTGGTGTGTCGAAGTGGCCGGGCGTGCGGCTGCAGCAGTGGGGGGCAGGTGGGAGAGTGTGGGTTCTGGTTTCGATTTGGACATGGCAGGAAATCACCTCCTTTTTCTGGGTCGCTGGGCCCCGTCTGTAGGAGGAGGCCGGGACCGACAACATCTGTGACCTGAGAACGTCAGGCCATGGCGGCGTTTGTGCTCTTGATGAGTCTGTGGGGCCAGTCTCCCCTAAAAGGCCAGGCAGGCTTTTCTAGTGTCCCGAGAGTCACCTTGACATTGGAATTAGAGGTCACTGCTGCCAGCACTGTCCCCATCTCTCGAAGGAGGCAGTTTGTTTAAGAGCAGTGAGGGTCCTGGAGGCTGAGAGAAGCTTTTCTCTGGACTGAGTCTTCTGTCCTTTTCTTAATCCAGGAAAAGACTGTCTCTCCCTCAGCTTCTGCCTCTTCCGAATTGGAGAAGCAGCCTCTGCTCCCCTCTTATGACTTAGAAGAGGATCTAGCATGGGGGGTGTCTCACCCAGGGGCAGGGTCAACAGTGAGGACGTCCTCTCTGTCTAAGAACCCCACTGTTACTCTCAGAGTGAGGACGAGGCTACCCGCTCCTTGTCTGTCACGTGAAGACGCCCCCTACGTCTCCTTGACGTCCCTGAGTGGGGGTAAGTATCCCTGGCCCACTCTGTTATGCTTCAGAAGGTACAACCATGTAAATTGTTCAGCCTGGTCCTTCTCCTGCTTGTCTCTCTGATGTTCATTTGCTCCTGGTGCAGACTCAGGAGAAGCCCGTCGGGGCGGGAGACAGGCGGGGCGCTTGTGCCGTCAGTGCCTCAGCTACCAAGGTTGCCATGGAGATGCCGAGACCCTGGGCTTAATTAAGACTTTCTGAGCCTCCCCCACCTCTCTCCTCTGAATCCCTCAAAAAATAAACATCACTACACGTGTGCGCATCCAGGGGCATCCCAAGGTGACGGCTATCGGTCGGCACTGCCGGAGCGAACTTTCCCACCGACACACATGCGTTTCCGGGATGGGAATCTAACTCTGCACCTGGAGGCCAATCAAGAGTGTCCCAACGGCACTGTCTATCAGTGCTTTATGGACAGGTGTCGTGACTTTACCCCTAACTGTGTAGGACGGACACTCTACTGCCACCCCCACAGCCACAGGAGGAAACTGAGGCAGTAGAGGCGGATGGTGGGGCAGAACTCAATGGCTGAGAGCCTGATACTTGTGGGGTAAATGGAGGCAGCTTTGTGTCTTACAGATGAAATTCAGTGTTGGGGGGCACACCGTGAATCAGGCCCAGTGCCATGAGCAGAGCCCAGGGTAAGAGCCGCCAGCTGTGAAAGGCTGGCGGGTGGTTGCGCTTCCCTGTCTCTGTGCACAGCTGATTAGCCACTCGCGGGCTGGGGTCGCCAAGAGCATCTGGGGGACTGGAGCCCAGGGTGCAGAAGCAGAGTGAGCTATGGGCAGCCTGGTAATCGGCAGCTTGCGGGTTGGAATAACACGGAGACTAAATGCTGGCCCTGGAGGAAAGAGCCCAGATGTCAGCTGGAGGCTTGAGGGAGCACCGGCAAGGACACCCCATTAGGCTGCTCCATGTGATGTCCTTGCTCCTGCTTTGTCCCTCCATCCTCCCGGCTCCTGCCCAGCTCCCTGGGCTGTCACTGGTGGATAGCTTCTCCTAACGGGTCCCGGGAGTAGCGGGAGGCTCACAGGACTGAGTCTGAGAACTGTGGTGGGGCCAGAACCCTAAGCTGTCCCTCACCCCGACCCTGCCCCCTCCACTCCCTACAGAAGGATGAGCTCGTCTCCAAATATCTGTGATGACACCTCGGCGCCCCGAAGTGAGTCCTGGAACAGAACCGGAGCCGAGACGAATGCCATGCTGGTCTGTGCGGGTTGCAGATGGCACCCCCACCCGGGCAGGCACCATGGCAGCTGTGTGGGTGCTGATCCCCTCTCCTGCCACCGCAGTCCTCAAGGAAAGTGACTTGAAACGACAGTAATTCAGAATGAGAGGGGGAAATGAGACCTCCTCGCTACGTATTTGCAAGAGTGAGGGCCGTGTCACTGCGCCCTCAGCCTCTCGAACCCAGCGGTTTCCTGCCAGGCACGTCGGCAGTCTGAAGAGCTGCTCCAGCTTCCGAGTGTGTGGCGCTGACCCTGTTCCCGCAGCCGGTCTCCTTTGCAACCTGCACGGATCCCGGAAAGTCCAGCGCCGATCTGGATCTGTGCGCTTGTCAGCAAATCTAATTCTCCTCCACAGAGGGAGACCAGGGCGCGAGTGAGGGCCGGCCTCGGTGGGGAGGGGCTTGTACTGTCGGGTGGCTCGACATTTCCTAATCAAAAGTTTCCGGTTTCAGCTCCTCATCTCCTCGCGCATGTTTTCAGATGCTCTCTGGGGGTCTCGGCACATTTAAAGGCTAATTATATAGTTAAAGTTAATTATTCATTCATTAACATTCAAGAAGCCTTTAACAAGACAGTGACTTGTTCTGATGAATTAATGAAACTGGAGTGTGTGAGTGTGTGTGTGTGTGCGCTCATTCATGTGTGTGTGCACTGTGGCGGTCTAGTCTAGTGTTACTGAAAGTCAAACATTTCTTGGGTGGTGAATGAAGGTATGTGTAGGTCCCTTCAAGCCTTGCCAGGAGGAGACACACATCAGCTGAGACTCCGGCCAGCAGCTGTGACACGGTGACTGGGTGTCAGGTCCACCCCTGCCTGATCTGGAATAAGCCCTGTCGTGGGTCCTCTCTGACCCCCGGTTCCTCCTCTGGGAGATGGGACGGGCCTGGCTGCTGGACGTTGAGAGGCGATGGAGGGGGGTTGTAAATTACAGGCGCTGGTGATGACATCGCTGTACCCAGTGGTGCGGTGGAGACAGCCAAGGA